TTCACTTGATTTAATACGCATAAGAACAAAAAGAGCTAGAAAAAAAAAAAACTTTTTTTTTTAACTAAATAAAAAACAAAATTCAATACCTAAATCAGTATCACCACAAGAAAGTGCTTTTTGTAAAGCTTCTTCTTTATCATTTAATTTTAATAATATATCAATTTGAGCACTTAAACTAACTTTAACATCAAGTAACTTAAATAAAATTATTTTATTATTTTTAATTATCGAAATATTTTTCGATCTTACTCGTCTAACAACAGTAAATTTTTTTAATTTAAATGCTTCTTCAATTATATTTATAAATGGTATACCAGGTATGCCAGAAAGACGTGTTTTAATTGTTTCTGCAATAGCTTCTTCATTTGTATTTGAAGGATTAACAAGCTTAAAATAAATAAAAAAAGTTGTTAGAATAATTTCTGTGATATTAAAATATAAGACACAATGTATTATCGACACCAAAATATAAAGCAGGTCAATATTGTTTTGAATAAATTTCAATAGGAATATCATAGAGACCTGCGGTTTTCACTATTCAAGATAGAACATCGAAATTTGATTGGTCAAACATTGACCATCTCTAGTATGTCACATTGAAGTTTTATAAGGCTTTTTCTGAGCCTCCGATTTCAACCAATTGACCTCTGTGATCACCCGGAAAAGCATCTAGACAGGAGTAATTCATCATGTTGAGTCGAATGGTGGTATTTGTTTTTAGTTTTGAATTGATCTGATAGTGTTATCTCAATATTTCTGAACTTCCACAATCAACCTCCATATGTAACAAAGCAGTCGACATTTCGGATATATTGAGATAACACTGTCAGATCAATTCGAACCTAAAAACAAATATCACTATTGGACTCAGCATGGTGAGTTATCTGTGCCTAGCCGCTTTTATGATTAGTCATAGGTTAATTGGCCAAAATCGGAGAATCTTCGAAAAAAACCTTATAACTCTCGAACGAAACAAGCTAAGAATGTCGGCCTTGCGTAAATCGAAAGAGAGTAACTTCAGAACATCGTTTTGAAAATTCTCCACTAATAACTCATCTGATTGATCAATTGCTGACCAATCAAATTTCGATGGCCTGAGATGTTCTCTCTTACATAGCGATAATAATTGCTGTTACTAATCACATGGAGATTGTTTTATACTATCTATTTTGGAAGACATCTCTTCATCATCCTTTTACTTACGAGCGAAGTTCTCCAAATGATTAATTGCTTTTAAGTCATGACTATGTGCATTCTGTATACCCCAATGAGCTATGGATACCTTGAAAAGAGTTCGTGCACTTACGACGGAACATTCTCAGATGTCTCGCTCCGGTTTCGTTCGTTTATGTATCATTCGATAGAAGATTTCGAATAGGTAAAAAGCCTAAACGGGTTCCGGTCGACGGCTTACGATCATTTTTCTGATTTTCCCAGTGAAAACTAACATAAAAAGAAAAATTCACATAACTCCACCAAGGAAACTCACACAGAACCGAAATTTGTTTTGGTAGCAGTCTTAAGGGTCCTCTATATACTCTAAAAGTTTCACAATTCTATCACTCTCTTTTCTCGAATTATAAGAGATTTCTATAAGTAAGGATGTGGATGTAAGCATCAGTGATCCCTTTGCCAAAACCCTCACTCGTACTTGTAGAAATGTCCCATAACTCTAGAAAAGAGAGTGATAGAATTGTGAAACTTTCAGAGTATATAGAGGACCCTTAAGATTTTCATGAAAACAAATCTTGGTGGAGTTATGAATTTTTCTTTTTATGTTAGTTTTCGCTGGAAAAATCAG